CACAACACGTCGGAGCGTCCAGGAGCAAAGGAATCTTGGGTTTTCACTGGAATCTAGTTCCTCCAGCATCGTGTAGCCCACCGTCGGTGAATGGCGGTCCAGAAAGGTCGAACCTGGTCTTCTGCAGCATCTCGCAGTCCTGCGAGGCACACTGAATACGCCTGTCATGTATTTTACAAATATAAATCACGAAGTAGTGGACTTTACAGTGATAAGTCTATCCTGTATGCTGTAAAAGACGCAGGAAATGTGACTGGTGTCTGTACACTCAGTGACTCAGGGACGCCAACACCCCAGTCTTCTCCTGCAGGATCTGTTTGACATTGACGTTATGCAGTAGGTCGGCATTGACCTGGTTTGGCAGCTATCGTAATAGTATCTGCCTGGTTGGATGTAGCAGGTTGGTGTTTGCTCGTCGTCCAGTCCGGTATTTTCTTGTAACTCACGGTGGAGTACGCGCAGGGTTTGTGATCATCCCTGTTCACTTCAATATTATCAAACACAACGTTCCCTTTGTCACTCATCTTATCCTGAGTACTGAATTTGCTGACAATCATCCAGTATTGCACCACACTTGTCACAACCTACCGCCACTGCTGGCGGTGGCGACTGGTTCGTCAATGGCGGTGACCAGGCTGACTGACTAGCTTCGAGACAGCGGCCTCGTTGTCAACCCCGCGGCAGCCTAAAGGTTGATTTTATCGATCCAGCCTCAGCGCCATGTTGACGATGCCCTAGTGACTGTGTGTCATGGATTGCCTTGCCATCAGCGGTCAGTGCCGTCCACCTTGATGCAGCCCTCAACAACTGGCTCAGCCCATGGGAGTCTCAAGTGGACAGAGTTGTTGCCAAAGTAGCTCAGAAGATTGGTGCATCGTGGTGTAGGTGAGCACATTACTAGGACTTCCCAGCGCCTATTTGTCCAGGCTGCGATACTATGTGACATGCTGTACTACACATTCTTTTCAGCACTGCAAGGCCGGCAGCTGGACCGACTGCAGGGGCCGCGCACATGCAGGCCGCCTGTTGCCAGTGCAGCATTCTGGAACGTTCCTTCCTTCTGAGATCCGTGGAATAATAACTTTCTTTGCTTCAAAGCAAGTTGCTTACCTTTCTGTTGTGCTCCCAGTGTCCTTACAACAATAACCTACAGCAATGTTTTATTTTCCTTTCCATTCCCCAACCAATGAATACTACGATGTCGATTCTATTTCTGAATACTTTAGTGTGTGCCCGCGCACGCACGTGTGTGTGTGTGTATACCTCACTCGCCACTCGAAGTTCTGTTCCCCATCACTGGAACACTGCCTGTTCTTTCAGGACCTGCCATCATCTGCGGATGGGCATTCAATGATTGTATTGTGTGTGTGTTTCATTCTGAATCAGATCCGCTATCGTTGCTATAAGAGAAAATCTGTGGGTTAACATCCAATGCATTTGTAGATTTGCGTGCTTTTCTCGCCACGGGCGCATACATGGGACATAGTGTGTGTGTGTGTGTGTGTGTGTGTGCGTCTGTGTGTATGGGGATATTGTCTGTATCGGCTTTTGGTACTAATGTTCAGGTCTGTGCTTGCATGTGTGAACATGGAATTGTTCGGTTCTGTGCATGCTATTGCTATGTTTTATATTATTGTATGTATGTGTGCATTTCCACGAACAGTGTAGATGAGCGTGGAGAGTGCATTCATCACCCACTTCCCCTTGGGCTTACGGTAGTTTTTTTCTGCGTACCTCTCATTTTTGTTTGTTTCTCTCTGCTACTGTATTGATGCCGGTACCTGTACCTCGATGTGTTCCTCTATCTGCAGTCGCCTTTAACCTTCGGTCAAGTTAACGTTTATTGTGCTCTATTTATCGTGCGAATCAAAATAAACAATAATAACACAAGTCGTGCTAGAGTGACGACATGTGCGTGTAGTAGGGTTGATGCGATGGGACGTTATAATTAGGTGGAACACAACACACATTGGGCAGATTGATTGGGCATCATTGACTGTGCTCAGTCTAAACAGTGAACATAATAATTATCTCCAGTGACAGACTGTAGCGGCTAGCCTCCAATAGGTAGCTGGCACTAGTCGCTACTGCTTGTTTGACAGGTGCCGCCAGAACCCCTGTTGTGTCATGCTATAGATGCACATGCCCTGTTCTGGGGCATACTGAGGTACTTTGATTTTGTTGACTGCATGTAGACAGCATCCAATAGTAGTACTCGTAGACCTTGGCTCTTTGTAGGTCAACCACCATCGCATGGATCGATCGGTGACTATGCACTTGGAGGTTGGAATAGCCCGCGCTGAACAGATCTTGCCATGGCCCAGGGAGTGAACTCGCTTACTCGACTATCCCGGTTTTAGTTAACCAGCATGAGTGGTGCAATTTGTCCATACCATGTTGCGAGCTCACAGTTGTTTGGGCAGGTTTTGAGCTGCACCACGAAACAAAGCGAAATAACGGCGTGACTGTAGAGCAAGGAAGCGGCGAGACGGCACTTCCAGGACGAGACAGGCAGTAGAGATGTGTTCACAGCACGAGCAACCTCTCAAACCCTGCCGGTACTCCACAGTTACAAGAAAATGTCGGACTGGACGACGCGCCAATGCAAACCTGCTACATCCACCCAGGCAGATAGCTGCCAAACCAGGCCAATGTCGACCCACTGCATACCGGTATGTCAATGTCAAACAGATCCTGCAGGAGAAGACTGGGATGATATTGGCGTCCAGTGTACGGACACCGGTCACATTTCCTGCGTCTTTTGCAGCATACAGGATAGACTCATCACTGTAAAGTCCACTACTTCGTGACTTTAAATGTAAAAAAAATGACAGGCGTATTCAGTGTGCCTCGCAGGACTGCGAGATGCTGCAGAAGACCAGGTTCGACCTTTCTGGACCGCCATTCACCGACGGTGGGCTACACGATGCTGGAGGAACTAGATTCCAGTGAAAACCCAAGATTCCTTTGCTCCTGGACGCTCCGACGTGTTGTGATATCTGCCAGGTGCGCAGTAACTAGTATTTTCATCGCTATAGCGAGGACGACGCCGATCGGCAAACTCTCGCTCACAGCCATCACCAGCCTCTCAAATCCATCACTTGGCATCCCCCAGAGGTATAGGAGAAAGCCAAAACAGCTCTCAACAAACAAAAGCTAAGGACGATGGAAAGAGAGCATGTCAAAAAGAAGACGAACAGTATGAAGTTCAAATGGGTTTGAACACTCGTTCCACCAACTATACCACTTTCAATAAATCGTGACGCCATTTTGTTTTAACACGCATACGGTCCACTATACCACTTTCAATAAATCGTAACGCCATTTTGTTTTAACACGCATACGGTCCGTTGAGCTTGAGTAGGCTGAGGAAGATTGTGCCTGAAGAGCACCACTTGGGCCTCAACCAGCGAAAACAGCCCTTAGGGTCGAATTTTTCAAAATTCCTTTTTGGTTAGAAATTTGTTGAAACACATCTACTGAAGGACCTCAGCCAAGAAAAAGTTCAATATTCCGATTCAAAACAAGTGTATACACCAATATACAAGGTGTACTCCAAATTGGTGCAATGTATGTATACGATGTATGTTTACAATAAATATTCAGCATTCTAAGATGGGTAGGCAGCTTGAATACCTTTGAAAGAGTGTAGTAAGCAGCTAGAATGACAAAGAATAGCTGAAGAGTGCGGAGACATGATCGACTTATTTGCAGCTGCATCCTGCGTGGAGTCGTTCCGCAATGACGGTCTTCCATTTCTTCCTCCGCAGCTGATAACACGACGTCGCTGCCGTCACTAGCCCCAGACTCACAATTTATCTCAGGTGATGACTCCTCATCTTCCGACTCTGACGAGTCATCGACCACCTTGAGCCGCAACGCAGCAGGAGATGACGGCTGCGATTCCGCCTCGCTGTCGACATCGATGTCGGAACCAAAGAATGTCTCATCCACACTCTGACCTTCAGCGGCTACTTCAGCATCCACTCCCCACCAGGCTCGAGCTAGCTGTACACAATGACTGCCGCGTGTGCTCTGCGAACAGCTCTGGCGTCCGCAGCCATCACAACAAGATCAAGGAACACTCAAGTCGCCACTCGACACCACTTCAACTAACAAACTTCAAATAAATTCAAGCAAGGAGTTCAAGAAGAACTCGCCGCACTGTTCGCAGCGCGATCAAAAAACCGTTGAACGTCACAAATCGACCTTTTTCATGAAAAAATTACGAAACCTCTAAGGGTCGTTTTCGCTGATTGCGGCTCACTTATTATATTGAAGTTATATAGTGCTCTCCAGGCACAAACATCACCAGGGATACAAACTTACAGAGACGCTCCGTTTCCAGCGCGACAAACACCTCGTGAACACCAGATAGCAGCGTGAGTCAGTGTCGCTCCTGGACGGTGAGACAGACGTCGAGGACCCTCGGTCATTCGCAACGCTGTCACCTCCAAACCAACTAGTCGCAAGCCCGCGCTCGACGTCTGTCTCACCGTCCAGGAGCGACACTGACTCACGTTGCTATCTGGTGTTCACGAGGTGTTTGTCGCGCTGGAAACGGAGCGTCTCTGTAAGTTTGTATCCCTGGTGATGTTTGTGCCTGGAGAGCACTATATAAGTGGTGCTCTTCAGGCACAATCTTCCTCAGCCTACTCAAGCTCAACTGATAAGGGGTGAATTCCCCGAAACACTGTGTATTGAGCAGGGAGTGGTGCTTTCTTGCAGGTTTGCCGAGTCGAAGGTTCGATGGCCTTCTCGTGTGCTCTGGATGGCAGTCGTGAGTCAGTCAAGTGTCAAGTAAAGTCGGCGGAATAGCGCGAGCTCCGGTGTGGGGAGCAAACCCTTTCTTACAAGGATATAACTAAAACTAATAGTAGTAAAAGTGCTTATGTCCGAGACACAGGCAAGAAGTGTTATTAAATGTTGTGTCTTTCTTTTCTATCAGTTTTAAGAGTAGAGCCCACACGCTCTCTTCCATTAACACTGCAAAAGTCAAACTCATTTCACAAGAATTACTTCTTTTCTATCTCCATGAAAATCAGGAAACTCGGAATACAATACTAGTAGAGACTGCCCCTTTTACGGCCAAAGAAACACAGTGTATGGTGAAGAAAGTGTCTAAGAATGGTAAAAGACTGAAAACTGAACAAAATTCCATCTAGTATGTGACATACAAGTCAGTTAGGTTCAACACTATGCCAGTGGATGACAGGGCAGTGCCCAACTCCGATGCCAGCCAGCCACGTCATGGACGACGCAACAATGAGATGGTTAGCGATGGTCAGAGGCGAAAGCTAACCGAAAGGAAGAACAGAGAAATTGGACCAGGCTTGGCCATCAAACAGAAGACTGTTGTCCATATTCAAGAGCCACATGGATCTGTATGTAGTGACTGTGACCATGATACTCTATAGGTACTTGGATACCCATATATGCAACGAATATGATTGGGAAAACCTCAACCAAAACAGAGACACTGTGTGAAATATGTCTCCAGTGGCTTGTATATGCCACATACACTAAAGAGGAGAGTATCTACTTCGAAGTATGTTCCATTAAACATGGCTACGAATCCCACCAGACCAAACTCACACGATCCACTACAAAGGAGCCGTATATGGTCAGCGAATACTGTGTTCGAAACGGTGGACCACATTCCACCGCAAAGCACATAATGGTGTGCACGTACTCTTAACCAGTTCAGCTGTGCATTGGATGTGACAGTACTGCCTGTGACCGAAGAGCTTGCAAAGAACGAGACAACTCTAGTAACTGCATATGACACGTTTCACAAGGCATATCCTTGGCCTGAGAGTACACCATGACGATTGTTCCTTCATTTCTTTGACCAGTTGGGTCCACACTTGAGGTCCATAATCAGGAAGGAAAACAGGAGAGCAGCCAGCATGCTCTATAGGAACGCATGCGACAATGTTCAGCAGACGGCATAATCCTGACTCCTGCATGGACAACAAGTCGAAAAGCCGCACCAACACATGATAAGCGTCATGACTAGTATACATGTACTGGTAAACTACAATGTATTTTGAATTCAATTGAACCTCATAACACAAGCTGTCCCCCGTGAATTCCGTGATTCCGCGGATTGGAGAATTTCCGCAAAATCCAGTAGTGTCCGCAGAATTCAGAGTTCAGAAAATCCCGCGCTTGTGACTTTCAAAATCATCTTGCACGGTACATTTTGGAGCTTTCAATTTTTTGGACCAGGATTTTGCATGATTTTGGTTCAGAATTGATAGGGACAACAAACTTCGATGGGGTTGCGGAAATTCAATCTGTTTTTAGAACTTTTTACGCTCATTTCCCTTGCAGAATTGCCGCAGAATTTGGAAGGATTTGCAGAATTAGCGCAGAATTTACTGTTTTCAGCCGCAGAATTCTGCACGGAATTTCTGATATTCTGCCGCGGAATTCACGGGAGACAGTACAAGCCATACCCCTGGCAACTGCATTCTCACAGTGGAACTGGTTCAAACTTCACAAAACGGGTTTTCCAGTACTTTTTGGACTCAACATCCACTACTAACGAGTAATCTTTCACGTAACGATTAGTTGACTGTGAAGAATTATCGATCGATGACTGAGAAATCTGTATACATGTACCAGGTAATCGCTTCAGCCCTACTTATACCATCTTTACAGGGTTTAATGTGCAGCTTCCACATTCCATACTGGTAACACAATTACAAGCACATGCGCCTCGTGTGAGACCAATCGACCTGCAAAAATTACAAAATTAATACGAAGAAGCTTGCGTATAAGCGCATGGGTCATAACGATATGGTCCTCTTGTCCAGGGTCAGTTCACTGTAATGCTGTCCTTTGTTCTTGGCTTATGGGGCAGGTGATAATAATAGTAGTGCCCCCCCCCCCCCTTGATAGGTTTTACTGCATTACATTTTTGGACTGATTCGGCACGAAATGGCTGGAAGTTGTACAAATAACAATTGTGCTGGTGATGTGCAAGCGTTGTGGGCTGGCTAAGACTGTAGTGTGGAATGGTGGAGTGAGTTAAGGCGGTGTGGGTCGGCTAAGAGTGCAGTGTGGAATGGTGGAGTGAGTTAAGGCAGTGTGGGTCGGCTAAGAGTGCAGTGTGGAATGGTGGAGTGAGTTAATTCACCGAGAAATGATCAAGTAATAATTGCACTTGCTGAACACCATGAGACTCCGAAACACGTCTTTGTCTATGGAGTAATTAAGAGTGCATACATGTACATACTTATTTAATTCTACCCAACTTCCCAAGACTACCATGTATGAACTTCGAAATCAGGTGAAATGCCTCAATGGACATCGCTCTGAACTACAATTTTGACCCTCGTTTGCAGCTGATCTGAGAACGCGATCAGCCTTTTGAAGTGTATCTGTTCACATTCAAAACACCCATTAATATTTGTAACATTGTAGATAATTGTCCTCGAGTTTACGAGGAGAAAATCAGAAATCCATCAGCAATACTAGTTTTCGTGATTCTCGTGTATTGGCAACTAGGGTATTAGGAAAAATTCGCCAAATTTTTGGGCAGGTTACTATCAAGACAATTTTTGCTTTATGAGCAGCCTAGGACAATGGACTATACATACCTGAGGTCTGGACGGTGTCCGGTAGTTCTTTTTTGGTTCTCACGCCATCAAGTATTTCAGCATCCAAAAATCATAAATTCTGGACGACGCAAAATTGAGAAAAGTGGCTCTGCTGCAACATGACAGACAAATCTCTGGCGGAACGGCTTCCAGATTTTGTTTAGGGACTATCCTAGCCCTCAGCAGGCCAAGTTACAATAGCATTCATGAAAGTCTTCCATGCCAAATCGAAGACGATCAAAATGGTGATTCTGCTAAAAATTGGTCACAGAAAAAGTCGAAAAAAGCGGCGTCGTCATCTTCATTTTGCATAAAGATTCGGGTCATTTTTGGCCCTTGGCGCATGGACTGTATAGTAGTAGCAGTTTTCATGAAAAACAACTCGAAGAACACGAGCAAACAACGGCGGGCTCGGGCAGATCTCGAGTACACTCGGCCAAAAGTCTCCAGGATCTTTGGGAGGTGGTAGGGAGCCGGAACGATATAAAACAACGAGCGAATGTATGTATGTATGTATGTATATTTTTATTTGAATTCGCAAGTACACACGGGCTACAAGCCCAATTACATGGAAGCGAATGCCATAATGAGGCCAATTAAGAAAAAAAAGGTGGAGGAAGGAGGAGGACGGTAGCAAAGCAACAGGGAGGACAATTCAGGACCAAAATCAACAATTGCACAAATGTGAGAGCACCTGAGACTGAGGGTACCTGTGGAGCGATAAAATTCCAAGCAAACAGAAGAAAGGAAATCACAAGCCAATGTGATCCGCACTATTGATTTGTCTATTTGTGCCAGCCCCGTTTAGCGTGACACATTTCAAGTCGGTCAAGCAGAGTGTTGTCGAAATAGAAATAAGCTTCTTTCACGATTCAGCCTAGCAGCTGCCTGTATCCAGGGTATCTCTTGAAACTAAAGTCTCGCCTGCACATGTATACACTCGGTGTTCTAAAGCTTTGTTAGTAAAATTCAATACTAGTAGCAGCGGTGATCAGTGACAATGGGTAGCAGCTCCGGCAGCCTCGTCAAAAGCCCTTCAGATTCTTCCAAGCGCCTGTCAGGCCAGCGCTACAGCACGAGTGTGTACTTCCACGCACACGCCGACTCGAACGCCGAACACTACGAGGTGGAGGAAAAGGACTTGCCGAAATACCTCACTCCGCTCATCGGCCAGGACGAAGTCATAACCTGGGTGGCTGTTTACAAGAAACCACTCGGCAGCTGGCAGATGACGGACGCGCTCCTCTACCATGCCTTCGTCATCTTCCAAACGCAGGGTTGGTGGTGGTCTATAGAAAAGAACGACCAAGGTGTTACGCTGCAACGCAGCGAGACCAAGACTTTCGTCCTGGATCGATACCGGAGAAGTCCGCGACAATCGCCTGTAGAATTGATCAAGTCAGATGAAGCCTGGTGTCCGCTGAAGGAGTTCGCGGATCTGCTGTACGGCACGCACGCTGTTGGAAGTGCGTATAACGTGATGACGAGCAACTGCAAGCACTTTGCCAAGACCGTGTTTGATAGGTTGGCACGAACCGAGGTGTGGTGAGGCCACAGAGCGAAGGCAGCCGCAGAGAGAAGTGATGCTTTCCTAGGAATAGGGCGGAAGAGAGTTGGAATAACATGCAAAAGCTGTTAGGCATTGGCAACTTGAATAATAATTATTATGATTATATGGACGGCCCCTGCCAGACTGGCCCAGTTGGCATTGCCGATGTCAACAACACGGATCATCATCTGGAAAGTACAAGAACGTTATACAATCACTAGCAGCACCCCCGGCCAGCGTTGCCTGGCCGAATGTGGCATGCGGCGCGGGTGAAGCAAGTACATGAACAGCACACGTGCTCAGCACGTGGTGGTGGCCAGACCGCTGAAGTCCTGGTGAGGGAGGTTTTTCATCGTTGGAAGGAGAAGGAGGGACGTCTGTTACGCCTTCGGGAGGCTGGTCAGGGTTGTCCATCACCTGGACTGGTGGCGGATGAAGCGGCTCAAAAAATTCATAAACTTACGAACAAAAGTGCGATGCGCTCTTCACTGCAGATCAGATGCAGAGTGCAGTCAGTGCAGATCTTTTGTATCCTTTTGTTGCAGATGTTTCTATTTGCAGAGAACGGTTCACGTGGTCCGCAGCGCTTGTGCGGCTGCTAGTGCTACCTATGGCGCCATGGCCTAGGCTAGGTGGCTACATGATTCACACGCTTCGCGTGCTCAGTGCTTCTGCGCGCGGCTGCTACTGCTACTCGACCTCGTACTGATCGTGTCTGCTACCATCTACACTGTTCGCACGCTTCGCGTGCTCAGCAAGTGGTGGTGGCTACACGATTCGCACGCTTCGCGTGCTCAGTGCTTCTAGTTCTGTGGCTGCTTCCGCTAGCTACACGATTCGCACGCTTCGCGTGCTCAGTGCTTCTGCGGCCGCTAGCTAGCTAGCTACACTGTGCTACACTGTTCGCACCCTTCGCGTGCTCAGGGCAGCGCTGCTCCGCAGCGCTTCAGCGTGACACAAAAACACACGTCACAGGTGCCTCTTCTTTATAAGGAGCGTGACACACACACACACACAGACACACGTCACAGGTGCCTCTCTTTTATAAGTAAAGATACCACTTCACACTTGTGCGTATTGAATGATCCAATACCCAAACTACTAGTATAGTAGTGCAGACTGTTTATCTACTCTTGCTACAGTCGACCTACCCTTATTAACTTATAACGATATTTGTGTCACACCAAGAAAATTGTTATAAGGGTAATATTGTTATAGGGGCAACTGCTAGTCTGCTACTAACTGGTTTATTTCATACACATACGTCATAACTAAATATTGCGACAGAGCTTTCGGCCATATTTTCAATTCATTGCATTCCCAACTCATCACAACCACGCGCTCTTCAGCCGAACCATACAGACACCAGCAAGGACACTTCCGTTGAGAGATAATATTGCTCCACGCCTCTAGACAGCTGTTTCGCTCCCTGTCGGAGCTCATCATAATACATAATGCATGAATTCTGTTCATTTTTTACACTCTTCATAGCATAAAAACTGACGTACATGTACATGTACATGCATAATTATAATTATTATGTGCACAGCAAGGTGCCCACTGGTGGCGCCCCCATTGCATTTCGTCATGTCCCAGCGAATTATCAAGTGAAGCTTGCCCTACCTGGATAGTGGGCTCTACATGTTGCCTGCTAGATATTGTTATAAAATGGAAAATGTCGAGTGGTCAGCCCATTTTATATCGTTATAGGGGTAATATCGTTATAGCAATATTGTTATAGAGGTAAGGCATTGTATACACAAGTCAATGGAGTGATTTGGTTTGGCAGAAAAATTGCGTTATAAGGCCATCCAGAATTAATTCGTTGTTTCGGGTCACCCGACCGACCATCTTTTTTCACCCGACCGCAAAATGTTTTTTTTATAGTGCATGCAAATGTATATGTACAGACTAGACTATACAGTACACACGCGACCCTAATAATAGCAGTCCAGATATCGACCTCAGAAGCAGCCATGGCTAGCCAAATGACAGGTTGCAGCGCTTGGTGACGACGTTGTCTTCTATCTCCGATCCGCAATCGGTCCTGAAACAGGATCAGCTACGCCACCTTGTCGCTATTTACAGAAGTTTTCAAGATGAGAGCTGCTCGTCAGACTCGTTTGCCAGCGAGGCCAAGATCTGGTCCTGGAGGGGACCTGGATCTGATGCCTGTGTGATGGGACAATGACTGCGCTGGATTGTCTACACTACAGTCAGATTTGATCGACTGGCTAGGTAGACAAAAGCTATTCGATGTCTACATGTTAGGCCTTGACGGATTATGCTAGCATAATTTTTCGCATAATTCCTACCAAAATCGAATAATCGCATAAGTCGAGGCAAATTGCATACGAATCGCATAAAATTGGAATAATCCGCCTGTTCGCATCAAATTCCATACAGTTGTACATGTTCTACAAGACAGTAGATGCACCAGGAGGTCGTAGGTTTACGACTCCCTTGATAACATGTCCAGTCCACTACAATCAGTGACGGTCGTAGCTAGGTCGGACGGTGCGTTGACCCCGTTGAACTTCTGCTACTACAGTACAACGCCCTCTACAAAACAATTCCCCTGCTATTTTGCACCGAACCATCATATACATAATACATTAGCAGCATATGTGAGCATAATGCGGCATAATATGATAACTTTTAGCATAAAAATAGCATAATTCTGCAATTTTTTCAGCAATGCGAAAAGCATAGTTTCACGAAAATATTAGCATAATCCGTCAAGGCCTACTACATGTATGCACATGGATGACCAAAATAAAAAATAAAAATAAAATATAAAATAAACCCGACCGACCGACCCTGGTACGGATGAGTGAAGTGACCCGAAACAACGAACTAGGTGGCCTAAGGGTAATATCGTTATATTGGGTAATATCGTTATAAGGGTAGGTCGACTGTAATAGTAATACGGATGGCGATGTGCAGTGCTGCAAACTAATTACTAGTAGCAAGAGTACATAACCCCCCTTTTAGTTATGTACTCTTGCTAGTAGTATCCACAGTTCATGCATAGACTAGAGCATGATCTAGAAGTAGAAGTACATGTATGATTGTGCAACCTTTACTAATGCCACCATCGTTACCACAATTGGTACATGACTTAATAATAGCCGTCTGGCATAATACAATAACCTTTTTTATTTTTTTTATTTTTAATGGCTTTCTCTTCTTCCTCGGATGGTTTACAACCTGTATCACAATTATTTGTGGGTTCAGCAATAAAGGATGTGACCATCGTTACCATGGTTACACATCCATACAGTACAATGCCATGGCAATGGCTGTGAACCTTGAATGCACGTTTATTTCGGTGGTAAACTTAAATTTCGGTAAATAGACCAGGCGCCGAAATTTAGATTACACCTAAAAGGCGCTAGAGTATGCACTGCATGCTGAGTCTGCGTAATGAATGGTGGGCTGGTCACCTAGTTCTACATTACACCTGAAACCTGGCAGGTCCCTGACACCGAAATTTTAGTTCACCTAAAATCACATGTTATACCGTAGGGCAACTTACATGTACAATTGAAGTTGGGAACTAATGACCAATGCCAATGCCAATGCCGGCACACCAGTTGTTTTGACTAGTGTGCACGGTCAGTACAGTGGCAGCCTGTCCCATGCACTGTCCTGATTTCAAAGCATGCAGGACAGTGCTGCTTTGAACCAAAACAATCATGTGTATGCTGCAGAAATTTTTCGGTGGCGTTTTGTTTTCGTCTTGGTCTAAACAGAAAAAAACATTTGTTTGATTTT